TAGATGTGTTATTGGCAACGGTTGCCAGGGAGAGCGGGGTTCAGTTACAGACACACTGATGCCTGCTCTAATAATACTTTGCTCTGCATAGTTCAGATGCAGACACCTCTTGGCTAAACAGGGCACACACATTTCAACAGAGGAGGGCTTGAACTTGTACTACCCAGGCGTATCTCCACAAAGAAGCACTCCCTGAGCCCAAGTGGGAGGCCTGGGGTGGTGACAGGGCAGTGCTGGGCGGAGGGGGCTCAGGCCTCCAATTCCTGTCATTCCAAAGGTCCCATAAAAAGAGGTGTACTCACTCTTCCCCTCGCTGTGAAACTGGAGCCCCCTGCCCCATTAGTGACTCACAATTCCCTGGTAAGGATCAAGGCAGTTTTGCTGACTTCTGTAAGCCACGTTCTCCTACAGGTCAGAAGCCACCAGTGCCCATGCTCTAGGGGGGGTGGGGCCCTGCCAGCATGAAGTGAGGGGCTGAGTGGGAAGGGGTGAGTAGGGCAGGCTGCGCACTGAAACTAACCACTTCCCTGGCTTTACTGGGCAGCCCAGCCTGGTGACGTGGGTTCACAGTGAGGCCCTTTTCCTAAAACATGTCATAGCTGCTCCTACCCACGTCCCAGACCAAGAAAAAGTAACAAGCAATGGGACTCGGGAAGAGGAGCTGAAGACAGAGAAATGGGGCCAGTGGCAGCCTGGTTGGCTTGGTTAACACAGAGGTCCTCCAGCAGGACCCTTAGAATGTCGGTGGCAAGTGTGCGAGAGGGTCCCTGGGACGGTCCAGAGCAGCTTCCTCACTGCGCAGAGGGGAAACTGAGGCTGTGCAAGGGGCAGGGATGGTCTCAGCTGCCAATGAGTCCTATCTTGGTGTGCTCCCAGTAGCTTGGGCCCCCAGTCCTCTCTGTCACTCAGTGAAGAATTGAGGCCCTGGGATGTATTTTTTCACTGGTTCCCAGGGTGACAGCGAGAGGGGGTAGCAGTGGTTCATAAGTGGCAATGGTGGCACAGTCAGGGCATCTCTACCTCTGGAGCATCTTCCTAACAGTGGTACTAAACTTGCTGCACCATGAATCACCTGGGAGGTCTTTAAAAACAGATGCCCAGATCTGTCCCAGGGGAGGGTAACCCACGGGTCTGGGATAGGCCCCTGCGCCAGTATGTTTGAAAAGCTCCTCACCACGTGCTTCTCATAGACAGCTAGGCTGAGAACTGGCCTAAAGAAAACCCAATGACTGAAACTCAGTTCTCCTAGGCGGGATCCCCACTCTGACGATGACACAGGGAGGAGACTGCACCTCAGCTGGCCGTCCATGAACCTGACCCACCAGATACAAACCATCAGCACCTTGTCAGTCAGCATGTGGTCCCCAGGCCAGCTGCTCCAGCATCATCTGGGAGCTTGTTAGGTATACACAGTCTCAGGCTCCGCCCACACTTCCCAATCAGAATCTCTCTTTGAGTAAAACCCCATGGGATCCAAATTCACATTCAGATTTGAGAAGCACTGATCTAATGACATTTAAGAAATGTCTGTTTAACAAGTACAATTGTATTTACTAGAATGCTAAGGAAAGGACTACAGCTAAGGCAAAAGACTTGGTTTAGATGTAAAAATTAAAGACCAGTTTTGAGCTGTGGGATTGGTGACAGGGATCCACTGAGATCCCAGGTTCTCTGGCATTCTTGTGGGCAGTGCATCCGGGTTCCTTGAGATGACAATGCTGAGTCTGGCTGGGAAGGGGTAAAGGGCCTTTGACTTCCCCCTGGCCCCACGCCCCTCTCCGTGGGGGCTGCACACCGCCTTGGCCAGCAGCCCTCACGCCTCTGCCAGGGAGTGCCCATCTCATCCGAGCCTGCTCTCTCCCCCAGGGCACCAACTCCCACTGCTGAAGCCCAGGCAGCAAAAGCGGGATGGCCAAGGAGGGCAACCTCCAAAGACAGCTGCTGGGAGCTGTGTTTATAGGCACGCCACCGCCTGGCCCCTTTGCATCAGCATCACCAAGCTGGGCTCAGAACTTCTACATGGAAGCAGCAGCCACACCTGGCCACAGGCAGGGCGTCTCAGAGGCCACTGAATGGAATCAGGGGCTGGCTGGGGATCCATAGGCACTGGGCCTTCCGTGGATGGAGCTGAAGTGAACCTCAAAAGGAGACAGGGGAGGGAACGGCGCTGGGGGCCCAGGACTGTCTGTTGGAAGGATGCAAATCAGTTTGCCAGAAAATGGAAGCAGGTGAAAAAAGACATCCCTGTGGGTGTTACGGAGGAGAGTCGCGTCCGCTGCGCTCCTTTCTCTTACCGTGTGAGCCTGGACTGGGGAGTGGCCATGAATTAAGCTGCTGGGACAGCCTGTTCCAACCTATCACCTCCTCAGCTGTAGAGGAACAGCCTGAGGGGCCCCAGTTGGACACGCAGTGCTGGCTTCCTCCGGACCTTGTAGTCAGGGGGTCTGTGAGGGGCTCAGGGAACCTCATGCCAGCACAGCCAGCCTGCCTTTCATGGGAGCCACAGGGGCCTTGAACAGTCTGAGGTCACAGGAGTTCTGAGGGTCCTGCTCAAGCCTTCTAGTTATGCCTTTCAAGGGGCTTCTCCCCAGCTTACACAAAAGCTGGGGCTGCAGGTTGTGTCAAGGGGGTGAGTGGGGACCCACAGGGGACAGATTTCTAAATGCCTGACCCCCTAATGTTCCATCCAGGCAAGTGGCAGGTGTGAGGATAAGGGCTCTTCTGCTCCAGGGACAAGGTGACATTAGTAGGGTTGGGTCTCTTTGGCTCCCAAAGCCTGTCACACATGACACCTATCACCGAGCCACAATATGGGGTAAACAGGTTTGTGAGGACTGGGGGACCCAGGACTATTTCATGCCAATGGCAGGGCCTAGGGAGAGTGAGAGAGCTAGAGGCTCATGTGGGGCTGCTCACACCCCATCCCACAGCCCCTGACTCAGTCTACCAGTGCAAGATTGCCAGGCCCACTGAGGAGTGCCAAGCAGCCAAGCATTCCAGGGGGAGCTGCAGAGGCCAAGCTCCAGTTGACAACTGAGTCAAGAAGCCCCATTCCCCAGCTTTCAATTTAGAGCTCCCTTCCTTTGCTGGTGTTTACCAAACTGTCTCTCAGCTCACTAATCCCACAAGAAGTTATTTGCTGGGGACTATAAAAAGGACTTTGCTGAGTTCAATGAAGCCAAATAGGTTTCCTTCCTCTATTGTAAGCCAGTCCAGTCCACTTTGTGGCTGATGGAGAGGCCAGAGGTGTAGGGGCCACGGAGCCCCTTTTGTGACAGAGCATTTCCCAGGATGGATGCTTTGTCAGACGCTGTGGGCAAGGCCACTCTAACCATGGGTTGTTGGAAGAAATGCCTGACCGGGCAGAATCTTGGGAGGCCCCTGTGGCCAGCTGCCCTTCCCAGCTGGGTACATTGTACCCCACACCCTGTGTGTCTGTCCACCACTGGCTCTGGCTAGGTTACCTGGAGCTGGCAGCCATTGTCTGAAGTCTTGCCCTATCCTGGCCCTTCTCTGTAAAAGAACAAAAGCCAAGGCCAAAGGCTATTCCCATCCCTGACTCCCCACTGCTCCCTGCTGTCACCCTCTCCACTCTCCCAGGACATTCCGGTCTGCGAGGAACATGCTTGATGTGCAAATCCCTCAGGTAGTGCGGGAATTCGTCACCAGGAGAGTGTGGGTGATGGGAACCCGATCGGGGACTGGAGCTGGAATGAAGCAGCCAAGGCTGGCCAGCCAGGGCTCAGGTTGCCATGAGCAGGTTCCATAGGAAGTGGGGAGGACAGCCTCGCAGACCGCATGCAGAGGGGGCTTCTCCCTCCCTGCTTTAGAAAGACACAGGAGACCACAAACCCAGTGGTTAAGACCAGGGCGACCGCGTGCCCTGGTTTATGCGGGGTATCTAGGCACAGTTATGCACAGAGCCCCTGACTCTCAGAAGTGCAGTGGTTTGAATGACCTATTATATAGTTAAGATAGACCTGTTGGTGGGCTCTTCCAGCTCTGGAATTCTATTTGCAGACCTTTCAAGCTAATGTTTACCTTACCTGGACTGGGAACTCGAGGTGTACCTTAACTAAGGTACAAAGGCTAATGTACAAAGTCAGAGTAGAGGTTACTTTTCCCCAGTCACGAGTCTCCAAGGATAGTCCCAGGGCCTGAGGAGGCCATGCTGTGCCTCCTGCTACCTCTCCCTGATGCCCCAGTTCTGGAATTCCCAGCTCACCTGTTACCACCCATGACAAAAGAACAGGTGTTGGCACCCAGATCTTTATTGGTGAGATGGAACGGCGTTTCCCCTAAGTGGGCATACCCCCTGCCAATTCACCCCTCGCATGGGTAAAACCATCACCAGATGCTGACACCATGAAGGAAGGAATGCGGGGGCAGGATTAAGTTCTCTGGTGGCAGAGGGATCTGGAGTGGGAAGGCACCAGGGAACAGGACAGTCCTGGACCGCCACACTTCCCCTCTGTAACAGTGGCTTTAGGAAGCCCAGTGTGTCAGCAGACAGGCTGAACCTTTCCTACGTGAAGGCCTCGTGCCTTCTGCTCAGACCCGTTTGAGCACCAGCTACAATAAGCTGTACCATCTCCAAGGTCTGGTGTGGGGGTCGGGGTCAGTGCAGGGGAGGAGGAGAAGGAAGAGGAGAAGTCCAGGAGGTGTGTGTCTGCTCCAAGGCGGAAAGGTCAAAGCACAGAGCGGGTTAGGATCAAGAGCCAGTCCTCTTATTGTGGAAATAGAAAGAGGCCAAGGCTGGTTAAACATGAAGCACCTATAAAATTATATTGGTCCATCATAACCATGGAGCACTCACACAAACACAGGAAAAGCCGGCCACTCATCCCTTGCCCCTCGAGTGCCTTTCTGTTTTCTATAATTAATTGGGCAAGGGTGGAACTTGGGAAAAGTTCAACTGTGGTCAGCATCAGCAGCCTTCTCTCTAGTAATAACCCGTGGGCGGGGTGGGGCGCGCCGTGCAGCTGCCAGTGTTGCCTTACCTGGAGCATGTTGAGGAGCAGGCTCCGGAACTTGGTCCCCTCCACCATGAACAGCGCCATCTTGTCGCAGAGCTTGGCAGCGGTGAAGGCGAAGCTGCGGTCGGACACGGCCTTCTGGTAGATGGTCCGGACGATCTCTCCCAGCATCTCCTCGGAGTTGGTGGAGTTCTGGGCCTCCTCCATGAAGGTGGTGAGCTTGGCATCCACGTCACTGCTGTTGTTCCGCATGCTGTTCAGGATCTCAATCAACTTGTCCATCTTGTTCTGCTGAGGGTCAATGGTCTCCACTGCCACCTCCTCCTGCAGGTGTGGGAGACAAACTGAGTGGCGCCTGAGTGGAGCTGAGATTTCTCCGGGGGGAGGGCTGCTGCCCCCAGGAAGGACCAAGCGTGACCTTCTTGAACCTGAGGTCTGATTCCTCGGGGAATGCCGACCCCCACCGGGGACCCCCGCGGCCCTCTGCTGGCCTTCCTCTCAGCCCCTCTGATAGCCTGGGCGAATTCATCTTACAAGCTGTACCTCTTACTTATGCATATATTCTCATTGGCTTCTTTGCCTCCTTGCCCATCAAATGTCTCTATCTAGAAATGATTTAATGGGGCTTCCAAAAGATGAGATAAGATAACAAATAAGAAATTGGGCCAAAGAGAAAATGAGGGCAGGAAGACTAGGTAAGGAAGGAGGGTAGTATCTAAAGTGCTTGTTCTGTTGGCTAAAGGTGCCCAAGGCAGCTAAAGTCCTCCTTGTCCTACAGACTCCCAGCTCGTACGGACCAGGGACAGGGGTGTTCTCTGGGGATAGGGGTCCCTGTGGACAAAGCCCTGGCTCTGAGTCTTGCGGGACTGTGCTGGCCGTCCACAACAAATACTCCACACCAAGGACTCCTCCAATGTGCCCTTAAAACAACTGACACTTCTAGGAGGGAAATTACAGACAAAAAACTCTACAACCTTAAGAGGATTCACTGCGACAGGGACCAGACCTAGACTGGAGAAGGAAAAAAATGCCCCTAACAGTCTTAGAAGCATTTCCTCAGACCCAATAGACAGGTGGCCCAGAATGCTACTGCCTTAACTGCTGGGCTGTGAGATCAGGGTGGGGGTTGGGGTCAGGGACATAAAGTGAGGTCTCACATTTGCCCTGCTGTTCTCCAGACTGGGCTTCTAGAACTTGCACTCCGCCTCTAACTGTATGGCTTTGGGCAGCAATCTGGGAAACATGCGGAGGTTGGTCTCACAGGAGGTCTGTAGCTTCCCTGAGCCCCACCATTGCCTCAGCCCATGTCCTCCTGGACCTGGAGTCCTGGAGGCCTTACCTGAGGAGAGTTCTTGAAGCCCATGTATGGGTCTATGGATCTACCTTATCTGCCCTATCAGCCCCTTACCCACCCCACTCCCGAACCATCTGGACCCCAGGGCAGGAATAGCAGTTTATATATAGAATAATAGCCACCCATGAGGGTCTTTATACATGTTATGACATTTAATCTTCATTGTCTGCAAGGTAGGAAGTATTATGCCCATTTTACAGATGAGTAAACTGGGAACTCTGAGAGGTTAGGTGACTTCCCAAGGTCACCTACACAGTCAAAGCCGAGGGAACACCAAGCCTGGTCTGCAGGACTCTAAGGCCTGTTCTGTTTCCACTCTACGGCACTTACAATTACATCTGGAAGAACTGGAGAGGAGTCAGTCAATGATCCTCTCTTGCAGCTGCAGCAGTCTGACCTGGAAGCTCTTCAGATGAAGACCACACACTGGTCACCAGTTGGGAACCTCTTCCAGGCTCCCACCTGGGGGACGTGAGGGAATGACAGAGGCTTTCCTCCAGGACCTCACAGCTGCTTGCCCCACGGGGAGCAGTGGGGTTGGGGCTCAGGGATGTGAAGGAGGCCACGGGCAGCATCTCAGCTTTCAGACTTGATTTCAGGAAAGGTCTGAGTTCCTTGTCCTGCCTGACCGTGCACCTGGGCTGGCCTTGGAGGGTGACAGGTGGAGAACTAAGGCCATGGAGAGGCCAGGGAGAAGCCCAGAGTTTTGAGCTCATCAGAAGTCACAGAAGGACTACATGGGGAAGGCTGGGGACAAGGTGGCCTTTCTCGGGAACAGTTCCTCTCCAAGGTGACCTTACTTGTACCCTTGGCAGGGACGGGGAGCAAAGGGGATGCCCCGATGCCAAGAACAGACCCCCATCCCTTCTCTGGAGGCGGGGGATGGAGGGGCACCTCTTCCTTTGTGACCCTGGCCCTAGAGCCCAGGACCAGGAGTAGGGGTAGGGGAGAGGCTCCTGAGGAGCAAAGGTGAAGGAAGCCCCCACTCTCGGGGCTGTGTCAGTGCAGGGCCAGCACCTGTGTGATGCCGGGGTGATGGTCCTTAAAGTTGTCCCTTAGGCCTTTCACTGGCCACTGGCTGATGACGGAGAGGAATGTGAGGCTGAGGCTGGCTTGCACTCTGCCCAACTCACTTTTGTTCTTGACCCTGGTAGGGACCACAGTCTGGCTGGAACTTACCTTGGGGAAAAGCATCAGTCTTTATCTTATAAGCTCCATGTTTTCCCCAAATGCCCTTTAGCACTACTAGGGCAGGGTCTAATCCCGGAAAATGCCAAGGGAAGGACCGAGGTTCCAGTACTCTTCCTATCACCCCCAAGGTTATGTCTTTTCCTCTCCTGCCCTCAGGCTAGGGGCTGGTACCAAGTGCCCACCAGGGCCTCCCAACAAGGCCAGAAGGTAAGGAGCTGGAATGTGCTGGAGGGGTTCATGTCGTGCTGGCCACGGGCCTGCCCTCTGGTGGCCAGGGATCCCCAAGGCCGTGGTGGCCAGATGCGGTGGGTCCACTGAGCCACCTACTTGCCTCCCCACGGCTCCCCAGCCCTGCACACACAAGCCCACCCACCAAAGTGCCTACCTCACGCAGTCCTCCCTGGTGCAAGAGAACAATGAAAATGCAATTACCGGTACCTTTTCCTTCAGCCTTCGCCGCAGCCTGTCTTTGGAGGACTGGAGCAGGGTGATTCTGGGCCTCTCCCCGCTGCGCTCAGGAATAATACTGTCCTTACGCCTTGCCTCCGCCTCTGGACCCCCCAGCTGCTGTGGGGGCAGCCTGTCAGAAGCTGCTGGGGCATCAGGGCTGCGGGGGGGCTCCAGGCTGCTGTGACCAGTGTCCCCCAGGGCGTCCTCGAGCTTGGGGCTCTCCATGGCCAGGGTCTCTTTGGCACTGCGGTGGGTGCCTGCCTCCCCCTTGTCGCCCGGGGGGTGCTTCATGTTGTTGTGGTGCCAGCGCCGGTTCTGGCTGTAGCCGTGATGGGTGGGCCTCCCTGAGGGGTGGGGCACCAAGCCCCCCTGGTAGGACTTCTGGTGGTCCCTGTTGTGTTTGGCACTGCCCGGCTGGTGGTCACCATGCTGTTGTGGCTTGTTCCCTCCTGGAGGTCGCTGCTGCCGTCTGCAAACCAAAGGGGAAAGGCAGAGAGGTTCACTGGGTGGGCTGCTCAGGGTCCCTGCACCCAAAGGCTAGAAGGGGAATTCATCAAGTTGTTCATTTATTCATTCAACATTTCTAATGAGCATCTCCCATGTGCCAGGCTCCGTGATGGGGACGTAGCAGAGAGTAAGACAGACAGCTAGCTTCCTGTGGTTATAGAGGATTTAAGTCAATCCTTGACTTAGACTATTTTATTCCCTTAATAGACTATGTGTGAATACATACACAGGGAACAAAATTTAAATGACACAACAGAGTATACAGCAAACCCTCCTGACTCTGTCCCCAGCCACCCAGTAGGTCCCTTGGAGCAACGATTACCATTCTGTGAATCTTCCAAACATATTCTATGCATGTTCCAGCAGATACATACACAGACCTGCATTTATAACAATTATCCTGTTAATGAATTATTACCATAATGATTCTTGAAAAGTATCATTTGTTAAACAACTTTTTTTATACTGCCATCTATACCCCTAAAGCCACTAATAAAATATGTGACACGAAGTTGTTTATAGGCTGAATTCTGTTATCCCCTATCCCACCTCCATTGACACGATGAAGCCCCAATGTCCAGTACCTCAGAATGTGACTGTATTTGGAGGTAAGGCCTTTAAAGAGGTGATTCAATTAAAACCAGGTTTTTAGGGAGGGCTCCGATCCAATCTGATTGGTGTCCTTATAATAAGAGGAAATTTGGACGGCCAGAGACACCAGGAATATGGGCACAGAGAGGGAAGGGCATGTGAGGGCACAGCAGGAGGGCGGCCATCTGCAAGTCCAGCAGAGAAGCTTCAGAAGAAACCCAACTTGCTGACACCTTTGTCTTGGACCCCAGTCTCCAGAACTTTGAGGAAAAAAGTTTTTGCTACTTAGCCACTCAGTCTGTGGTATTTTATTATAGCAGCCTGAGCTAATATAGAAATGATATTTAACACGGTGGCTTACTTGACACAACACTTTCTAAGCAGAGAATATCATATGGAACATATTTGAGGCAGGCACCACAGGACACACCCCAAATGTTTTGATTTGCAGACTGAAGGCGAGGTTAGGGGTGGAGAGGGGGCACTCTGAGGTCTCTTCAGCTGTGCCCCACCTTCTGTCTGCCCTCATGGTGCCTCCTGTGCCATAAGTATTTGAAGAACAGCTGGAGAACAAGATAACCACAGGCCCCACAAAAGCTGTGAAGTCAGGGAAGAAAGTTCACAGAGGGAAGACTATACCTTCTACAGAATGAGGCCCACACCCTCCTCTGTGACCCACCTCTTTGGTGGGCGCAACAGACCTTCATTGCATTGCATTTTATGAACAAACTGTATTTATTTACTTGCAAATTATTATTACTTATGAAAACTCAATGTCCATGTTTACTTGGTAATTCCGGATCTGCAAAAATTTGCGGGTATCTTAGACTGGGGTTAAAGGTATCATTTCCTATTAAAATTAACAAAACCCTTTTTTTTTCCCATTGAAAAGCTTTCCTTAAGTGACAGGTTTTCAGGGGGAATTAAAGTTAAGTGAGAGACAGGTGGATAGTCATTTTTTCCAGTTTGTTTCGACACAAATGATAAGTACAACACATTGCATATTAGAAGTAAGAATTAATTAGTATGCTTTTGGAGGGAAATCTGACAGTTTGTTTCAAGTCTCTGATATATGTAAACCACTGGACCTTGCAATTCTTCTTTGTGGCAGTTTATCTCAAGGAAATAATCAAAGCACTTTTTAAGGCAAGTAGTTATACGCATAGAAAAATCTGGAACGATGCACACCAATATGCTAATAGTGGTTATCTCTGGGGGATGGGATGAGGATTTTTCTTTTCTTTTTTATTTGTGTTTTCTAAATGAACATGGATTCATTTTTCTAAGAGTTTTACTGTGAGATAATTATAGATTCACATGCAGTTATTTATAAGTAGTAGTACAGAGAGATCTTCTGTATTCTTTACCCAGTTTCCTCTCATGGTAATATCTTGCAAAACTATAGTACAGGATCTCAACCAGGATTTTGACATTGATACAGTTGAGGTACAGGGCATTTCCATCACAAGGATCCCTCTTTATTGCCCTTTTATAGCCACACCTGCTTCCCTCCCACCATTTCTTCCTTAGCTCCTCACAACTACCAATTGTGTCTCCATTTCAATTCTGTCTTCTCAAGAATGTTACATAAATGGAATCGTACAGTATGTGACCCAGTGGGATTGGCTGTTTTCACTCAGCATAATTCCCTGGAGACTCATCCACGTGGTTGTGTGTATCTGTAATTTGCTCCTTTTTGCTGCTGAATAGTGTTCTAAAATGTGGCTGTACCAGTAGGTTTAGTTTAACCTTTACCTCCTGGACGTCCATCCATGCTGTTCCCAGGTATTAGCTACTATGGATAAAGCTGCATGTGAACATTTGTGTACAGGTGGTTGTGTGGAAATTAGTTTTCATTTCTCTGGGATAAATGTCTGGGAGTGCTATCGCTAGATTGTAGAGTAGTTACATATTTAGTTTAAGAATCCATTGAACTGTTTTGCAGCAGAGCTGTAACATTTTACATTACCACCAGCAATGCATGAGAAGTTTTTAGCTATTATTTCTTTGGGTAATTTTTCAGCCCTTCCCTTTTTTCTCCTCTACTTTCCAGATTATGAGGACATGTAGGTTAGATGTGCTATTAGGACCCCAAGGTCCATGAAGCTCGGTTTGTTCTTTTTCTATTTCCTCTCTGTGGCTCAGATCGTATCATTTCTATTCTGCCTTCCAGTACACTGGTTCATTCCTTTGTCTCCCCCATTATGCTGCTGAGTGCATCTATTGAGTTTTTAATTGAACTATTAAGTTTTCTTTGATCCTTCATTATATGTTCTATTTCTTTGACAAGATCTATTTTTCCATTTATGAGTGTCTTCCTAATTGCTCTCCGAAACATTTTTATGCTGGCTGCTTTAAAATCTTTTGTTAGATAATTCCAACATTTCTGTCATCTGGGTATTGGCATCTATTTCTCATTCAACTGAGATCTTTCTGGAGGTTTTGGTATAACAAGAGATTTTTGGTTGAAACCTGGACATTGTGGGTATTGTGAGACTCTGGGCTTACTAAGTCTCCTGTTGCAGCTGGCTTCTTTTAACCTTGCTTTGGATGCATGAGGGGGGCACTGCTGCGTTACTGCCTGTGTGGGAGTGGGGGTCAAGTTCCCCTCCCAGCCTTCTTTCACACCCCAAAGGGGCTTCTCTTTACTGCTGGGGAGGGGTGGGAGTTCTGGCTCCTCAGCCTGATGCCTCTCAGGCGAGGAAGGGGAGGGTGCTGCACGGCCCCACATAGCCTCCACTGACACAGAGGGAGGAGTGCTCAGTGCCCCACAGGGATGAGTCCCAACTCCCCACCCAGCCTCTCTGCTGGGCAGGGGGATGGGGTACCTCATCACAGCCTGGTGAGACTGGAATTTTGGTCCCTCATTTGGTTTTTGCCAGCATGGGTTGGGGTGGAGCCCACTGTGGAGGGCTATCTGCCTAGAGTACAGCAGTTATCATCTGAGAGTTTTCTGTCCTGCAAGGCTGCCCATTTCCTGGTCCTTTGGCTAGAGAGAGCAGGTCTTTCTTGGGACTTTTTTGGGTTTCCAGCTTCTTTAGCTCCAAGTCTGGGATTTATAAGGCCAAGAAAATTCAAGCAAGTCACCACTGTGTCACTGCTCAAGTGCCATGGTCCCCAGCTGCTCTGCCTTCTCTCTACCTAATCTTTGGTACATATAGAATGTCCAGGGTTTTAGGCTGTCTGCATTTAATATTGTGAGAGTCCTTGTACAAACCTCTGTAGAAGTGTGGCAGAACTGAACCAAGTCCTACTGCCTGGGCATGCCCTGGGCCCTGCTCAGGAGGCCTGTGTACTGTTTTCATCCCTGCCTGGGTTCGATCTTGCTGGATTGTCCCTTAGGCCTTTCACTGGCCACTGGCTGATGACGGAGAGGAATGTGAGGCTGAGGCTGGCTTGCACTCTGCCCAACTCACTTTTGTTCTTGACCCTGGTAGGGACCACAGTCTGGCTGGAACTTACCTTGGGGAAAAGCATCAGTCTTTATCTTATAAGCTCCATGTTTTCCCCAAATGCCCTTTAGCACTACTAGGGCAGGGTCTAATCCCGGAAAATGCCAAGGGAAGGACCGAGGTTCCAGTACTCTTCCTATCACCCCCAAGGTTATGTCTTTTCCTCTCCTGCCCTCAGGCTAGGGGCTGGTACCAAGTGCCCACCAGGGCCTCCCAACAAGGCCAGAAGGTAAGGAGCTGGAATGTGCTGGAGGGGTTCATGTCGTGCTGGCCACGGGCCTGCCCTCTGGTGGCCAGGGATCCCCAAGGCCGTGGTGGCCAGATGCGGTGGGTCCACTGAGCCACCTACTTGCCTCCCCACGGCTCCCCAGCCCTGCACACACAAGCCCACCCACCAAAGTGCCTACCTCACGCAGTCCTCCCTGGTGCAAGAGAACAATGAAAATGCAATTACCGGTACCTTTTCCTTCAGCCTTCGCCGCAGCCTGTCTTTGGAGGACTGGAGCAGGGTGATTCTGGGCCTCTCCCCGCTGCGCTCAGGAATAATACTGTCCTTACGCCTTGCCTCCGCCTCTGGACCCCCCAGCTGCTGTGGGGGCAGCCTGTCAGAAGCTGCTGGGGCATCAGGGCTGCGGGGGGGCTCCAGGCTGCTGTGACCAGTGTCCCCCAGGGCGTCCTCGAGCTTGGGGCTCTCCATGGCCAGGGTCTCTTTGGCACTGCGGTGGGTGCCTGCCTCCCCCTTGTCGCCCGGGGGGTGCTTCATGTTGTTGTGGTGCCAGCGCCGGTTCTGGCTGTAGCCGTGATGGGTGGGCCTCCCTGAGGGGTGGGGCACCAAGCCCCCCTGGTAGGACTTCTGGTGGTCCCTGTTGTGTTTGGCACTGCCCGGCTGGTGGTCACCATGCTGTTGTGGCTTGTTCCCTCCTGGAGGTCGCTGCTGCCGTCTGCAAACCAAAGGGGAAAGGCAGAGAGGTTCACTGGGTGGGCTGCTCAGGGTCCCTGCACCCAAAGGCTAGAAGGGGAATTCATCAAGTTGTTCATTTATTCATTCAACATTTCTAATGAGCATCTCCCATGTGCCAGGCTCCGTGATGGGGACGTAGCAGAGAGTAAGACAGACAGCTAGCTTCCTGTGGTTATAGAGGATTTAAGTCAATCCTTGACTTAGACTATTTTATTCCCTTAATAGACTATGTGTGAATACATACACAGGGAACAAAATTTAAATGACACAACAGAGTATACAGCAAACCCTCCTGACTCTGTCCCCAGCCACCCAGTAGGTCCCTTGGAGCAACGATTACCATTCTGTGAATCTTCCAAACATATTCTATGCATGTTCCAGCAGATACATACACAGACCTGCATTTATAACAATTATCCTGTTAATGAATTATTACCATAATGACTCTTGAAAAGTATCATTTGTTAAACAACTTTTTTTATACTGCCATCTATACCCCTAAAGCCACTAATAAAATATGTGACACGAAGTTGTTTATAGGCTGAATTCTGTTATCCCCTATCCCACCTCCATTGACATGATGAAGCCCCAATGTCCAGTACCTCAGAATGTGACTGTATTTGGAGGTAAGGCCTTTAAAGAGGTGATTCAATTAAAACCAGGTTTTTAGGGAGGGCTCCGATCCAATCTGATTGGTGTCCTTATAATAAGAGGAAATTTGGACGGCCAGAGACACCAGGAATATGGGCACAGAGAGGGAAGGGCATGTGAGGGCACAGCAGGAGGGCGGCCATCTGCAAGTCCAGCAGAGAAGCTTCAGAAGAAACCCAACTTGCTGACACCTTTGTCTTGGACCCCAGTCTCCAGAACTTTGAGGAAAAAAGTTTTTGCTACTTAGCCACTCAGTCTGTGGTATTTTATTATAGCAGCCTGAGCTAATATAGAAATGATATTTAACACGGTGGCTTACTTGACACAACACTTTCTAAGCAGAGAATATCATATGGAACATATTTGAGGCAGGCACCACAGGACACACCCCAAATGTTTTGATTTGCAGACTGAAGGCGAGGTTAGGGGTGGAGAGGGGGCACTCTGAGGTCTCTTCAGCTGTGCCCCACCTTCTGTCTGCCCTCATGGTGCCTCCTGTGCCATAAGTATTTGAAGAACAGCTGGAGAACAAGATAACCACAGGCCCCACAAAAGCTGTGAAGTCAGGGAAGAAAGTTCACAGAGGGAAGACTATACCTTCTACAGAATGAGGCCCACACCCTCCTCTGTGACCCACCTCTTTGGTGGGCGCAACAGACCTTCATTGCATTGCATTTTATGAACAAACTGTATTTATTTACTTGCAAATTATTATTACTTATGAAAACTCAATGTCCATGTTTACTTGGTAATTCCGGATCTGCAAAAATTTGCGGGTATCTTAGACTGGGGTTAAAGGTATCATTTCCTATTAAAATTAACAAAACCCTTTTTTTTTCCCATTGAAAAGCTTTCCTTAAGTGACAGGTTTTCAGGGGGAATTAAAGTTAAGTGAGAGACAGGTGGATAGTCATTTTTTCCAGTTTGTTTCGACACAAATGATAAGTACAACACATTGCATATTAGAAGTAAGAATTAATTAGTATGCTTTTGGAGGGAAATCTGACAGTTTGTTTCAAGTCTCTGATATATGTAAACCACTGGACCTTGCAATTCTTCTTTGTGGCAGTTTATCTCAAGGAAATAATCAAAGCACTTTTTAAGGCAAGTAGTTATACGCATAGAAAAATCTGGAACGATGCACACCAATATGCTAATAGTGGTTATCTCTGGGGGATGGGATGAGGATTTTTCTTTTCTTTTTTATTTGTGTTTTCTAAATGAACATGGATTCATTTTTCTAAGAGTTTTACTGTGAGATAATTATAGATTCACATGCAGTTATTTATAAGTAGTAGTACAGAGAGATCTTCTGTATTCTTTACCCAGTTTCCTCTCATGGTAATATCTTGCAAAACTATAGTACAGGATCTCAACCAGGATTTTGACATTGATACAGTTGAGGTACAGGGCATTTCCATCACAAGGATCCCTCTTTATTGCCCTTTTATAGCCACACCTGCTTCCCTCCCACCATTTCTTCCTTAGCTCCTCACAACTACCAATTGTGTCTCCATTTCAATTCTGTCTTCTCAAGAATGTTACATAAATGGAATCGTACAGTATGTGACCCAGTGGGATTGGCTGTTTTCACTCAGCATAATTCCCTGGAGACTCATCCACGTGGTTGTGTGTATCTGTAATTTGCTCCTTTTTGCTGCTGAATAGTGTTCTAAAATGTGGCTGTACCAGTAGGTTTAGTTTAACCTTTACCTCCTGGACGTCCATCCATGCTGTTCCCAGGTATTAGCTACTATGGATAAAGCTGCATGTGAACATTTGTGTACAGGTGGTTGTGTGGAAATTAGTTTTCATTTCTCTGGGATAAATGTCTGGGAGTGCTATCGCTAGATTGTAGAGTAGTTACATATTTAGTTTAAGAATCCATTGAACTGTTTTGCAGCAGAGCTGTAACATTTTACATTACCACCAGCAATGCATGAGAAGTTTTTAGCTATTATTTCTTTGGGTAATTTTTCAGCCCTTCCCTTTTTTCTCCTCTACTTTCCAGATTATGAGGACATGTAGGTTAGATGTGCTATTAGGACCCCAAGGTCCATGAAGCTCGGTTTGTTCTTTTTCTATTTCCTCTCTGTGGCTCAGATCGTATCATTTCTATTCTGCCTTCCAGTACACTGGTTCATTCCTTTGTCTCCCCCATTATGCTGCTGAGTGCATCTATTGAGTTTTTAATTGAACTATTAAGTTTTCTTTGATCCTTCATTATATGTTCTATTTCTTTGACAAGATCTATTTTTCCATTTATGAGTGTCTTCCTAATTGCTCTCCGAAACATTTTTATGCTGGCTGCTTTAAAATCTTTTGTTAGATAATTCCAACATTTCTGTCATCTGGGTATTGGCATCTATTTCTCATTCAACTGAGATCTTTCTGGAGGTTTTGGTATAACAAGAGATTTTTGGTTGAAACCTGGACATTGTGGGTATTGTGAGACTCTGGGCTTACTAAGTCTCCTGTTGCAGCTGGCTTCTTTTAACCTTGCTTTGGATGCATGAGGGGGGCACTGCTGCGTTACTGCCTGTGTGGGAGTGGGGGTCAAGTTCCCCTCCCAGCCTTCTTTCACACCCCAAAGGGGCTTCTCTTTACTGCTGGGGAGGGGTGGGAGTTCTGGCTCCTCAGCCTGATGCCTCTCAGGCGAGGAAGGGGAGGGTGCTGCACGGCCCCACATAGCCTCCACTGACACAGAGGGAGGAGTGCTCAGTGCCCCACAGGGATGAGTCCCAACTCCCCACCCAGCCTCTCTGCTGGGCAGGGGGATGGGGTACCTCATCACAGCCTGGTGAGACTGGAATTTTGGTCCCTCATTTGGTTTTTGCCAGCATGGGTTGGGGTGGAGCCCACTGTGGAGGGCTATCTGCCTAGAGTACAGCAGTTATCATCTGAGAGTTTTCTGTCCTGCAAGGCTGCCCATTTCCTGGTCCTTTGGCTAGAGAGAGCAGGTCTTTCTTGGGACTTTTTTGGGTTTCCAGCTTCTTTAGCTCCAAGTCTGGGATTTATAAGGCCAAGAAAATTCAAGCAAGTCACCACTGTGTCACTGCTCAAGTGCCATGGTCCCCAGCTGCTCTGCCTTCTCTCTACCTAATCTTTGGTACATATAGAATGTCCAGGGTTTTAGGCTGTCTGCATTTAATATTGTGAGAGTCCTTGTACAAACCTCTGTAGAAGTGTGGCAGAACTGAACCAAGTCCTACTGCCTGGGCATGCCCTGGGCCCTGCTCAGGAGGCCTGTGTACTGTTTTCATCCCTGCCTGGGTTCGATCTTGCTGGATTCTGGAGTACATGCCTGGTGCAAAGAGCTGGGCTGCTCTGATGCTCGGGGAGCAGAGGCTGCCTCATCCCTCCCCCTGGCATGCCTACAAGACTCAGCTTCATTCTCTAATGAGCTCATTCAAAAAACAGGGATCATCAATGGGCTCAATGCTTGGAGTTCTGGAAGATGGTCAGTCTGCATTCACAGCAGGGCAGGAATCCTCAGTGTGGGTACCCATGGAAGAGCTGAGCCTCATCAGCCAGAGTCAGGTTCCTCCTAGGGACCCCCAACAGGCCTTCGGACCACCCAGACCCAAACCTGAATGCATGAGGCATCAGCTGGCTCAGAGGCTTGTAGCCCTCCTTCTGAGAAGCACAGTCTGAGACTGACCCATGTTGGGAGGGCATGGAAGACATTCCATGGCCAGCCAACTCCCCAAGATGCCATGTGCCTGCGACCGTCTGTGAATTCTCCTTACTTTTATTTTTCAGTTACTCTCAACGAACGGGCCCTTTCTTTTTCCCCTCTCTTTGTTCTTTGAGTGTGAGTAATTTTTCAGCCCAGAGAAGAACCTTGGAAACTCCCTGGCAGATAATGCTTGATTCTCACAGCTTTTGTCATCCTTATTTAGAAAATCTGTGGCGCCTGCAGCTATGGCCCAAGGAATGCCCCCCAAGGATGGCTGACCAGGCCCTTCCCAGTATCAATCTTGAAACTGCCTGGCTTCCCACTTGCCATATCAGGGATTTCCCTCCCTGCCCAACATCCTCTCTCACCACTCCCCTCCAGAAAAAACAAAACAAAACAAAACAAAACAAAACAAAACAAAACAAAACAAAGCAAAACAAAACAGAATAGAACCTCTCTCTACCTGGAGGAGGAAGGAGGTAATTTCTACAGGGCTAGCGGCCAAGGGCTCAGAAAGACATCAGCTAGGTCTTGTAGAGTTTCTGATGTTCCTTCCTGGGAAATCTGAGGGGAGGCCTGGAATTCCATGTCTTCCTCGTACAAAAGACTGTGGAGCCAGAGGTCCTGTCAATACAGTCTAAGAATGGCCC